TTTTTTTTTTGAGGCCACAGAGCATGTCTGTGCGTGTACATGTGTTTTAGTGTGTGTACACATGCTCATATGTGTCACAGGAAAGCAACTTCTGTCTGTGATCCCCTGCTCCTCTCATTTTCCCTGGTGAAAGGCGGCATTATAACTGATTTCCATGACCTCAAGCCAGGGCCTTCACTCCCTTCACGGCCTGCGTGTCTGTGTGTATATATTTGTGTGTGTGTGTGTTATGTGTATGTGTTTGTGTGCGCGCATTATAACTGCTTTCCATGACCTCCAGCCAGGACCCTCCTCTGCGGCCTGCCTCGCAGCGCTTGTTTAGACAACAGTGGTGCACATGTTGGCTGAAATATGGCTGCTGTGCTCGTTTGCTCGGGTGAATTAAGCTACGGCATGTGTGCTTAAACCCAGACGGCTCGCTGATTTATCCATATATTTAAATGATTGATTTAAGAGTCACCCAGCCAACACTTGTTGAAGCTGCGGATAGGGGCGGGCTCACAGAGATGAGAGAGAAGAAGGACAGAATTCAAATCAGAGCATACACAGCCTCCCTCACACAGGTAGTGATATTTACGCCATCCATGGCGCGGCTGAGGGACATTATTCACAGAGCTGAAGTAAATTATTCAGAAGTAAAGCTTTACTTTGCACAAGATGGATACTTTTAACGATGTACTGATTGCTTTTTAACATACTCCATTTTCAAATGAGCTATAAAATTTTGTTTATTATGGTTCAGAACATGACATAGGCAATCTATTTTAATGTCAGGAAAGCCTGGAAGAAAACGTATGAAAACACGTCCTCCCATTTGCTGTGATATGTGTATGTGTGTGTATATATGGAGGGTGCGTGTGCCAGTGTGTTTTATTACCTGTCTCATTATTAAATGTGTTGGAGGCCGGCTGAGCTGGGACAAAACATTCCAGCTCCTTTAATGTCTCCCTCTCGTCTCCCCCGTCCCCCTCGCTCCTCTCTTTGATAATACTTTTCCTTATGAGCCCATAAAACCAGACGCTTTCTCAGTGAACCACCTTTTTCCTCTGTGCACTGCTAAAAAAAAAAAGAGTGCATCTTAAGTTTTCTGTTGGCATTTTCTCTATCTCATCTATCTATATATTCAAAATAAGATTTATGTGAATTTAAATAACTGGTTAAAATGGGCGTTTCTTGCAGTGTGCACATTTTAATCCTTTTTATCGTGCTTACCAATGAAAGTATGTGTGAATCTGTTCCTTCAAATCAAAGAAAAATGCTGGTAGTCTAATTATTTCCTTTATTTCCTGTCCCCTTTTCTCCTCGCATTTTTGCTGCCTTTATCTCAATATTTCTGCTTCTCTTCTCCATTCCTCCTCTTCCTCCACCTCCTGCTCTCTCCCCTCTTTCCATCTCTCTCCCCTCTCTCTAGCTCTCCCCGTCTCTCTCTCTACAGGGTCGAGTTAGGCATAAGCGAATAATTAGGTAATTGCCCCCTTGATTGAGCTCAATAGGAAACATTTCAATTAGGCTAAAACTGCGTGAGGAGGAAGTAGGCTCTTACAAAGGGAAACATTCCTTGTCATGCAACTGTCAGCCCCCAAGCCCACACCACGAGCCAGGATTAACTGGATACTAGAGGAGGAAACACTGGGGAAGAGGGAGGTTGTTCTGAAAAGCCAGGGGAAAAACGTCAGGGAATTGGGAATGGGGGGGGGGCCTGGAGATCTGATGGGGGAGACTGGAGAAAGTTAGGGAAACGGAGGGTTGGGTCTTTTTAAAGCGGGAGGTGGGGGGTTGAAGAGACAAGCAAGAAATGATTGCTGCAATTATGGCTATATTTAAACACGCCTTCCCTCTGATATGATTTTCCTGGTGATCCCCTGTCCAGATAAGAGGGAGACCTCTCTGCCTGCCCAGCCGCCTGTAACAAATTACAACCTCCCAGCCATGGAAGAGACACAGTTCCTGTGTGAGAGGGAGGGAGGGAGGGAGGGAGAGAGGGAGGGGAAAGAGGAAGGCAAAAGAGGCAAGCTTAGAGAGAGCCTGATAGCCAAAGAGAACAACTCAATACCTCTGAGAGAGAGAGAGAGAGAGAGAGAGAGAGAGTAGAGTGGGTACAAGGGGGTAAAAATGGAAAGCAGACTGCCATCTAAAGAAGCAAATAAGAGGAAGAAGTGGCTGATTAATCATTTAGACTGTTGGGAATCAAAATGATCCTTAAAGTTGTTTTCCTTTTTTATTGAAATTCTGCATATTGAGGTTTTCTTTTCTTCCATCTCTGCTGTGCTTCAGAGCCTCAGTGTGATCAATATTTTGCGTTTTAATGTGACAACCTGATCCACACAGCCTTAATTGAGATGTATAGGTGTGTGCGCACACGGCAGCTCCATGCACGTCTGCCGCCCAAGTGAGTTAGTGCGCGTATTAGTGAGTGATAGTCCGTCTGCAGCAGTGCAGCTCACATGCCCTTCTGTCATCACAGTCACCTTTGCCGCCCTCATACATGGGCCATGAAATTGAAGAGCTGGGCGCTGACCTCTAATAGAATACGGGTGCCTGTAGGTGTTTTATGTAGGTGTTAATGGATAGTGTGTGAATGTCTATGTGGACAGGTGTTAACGTGGAGAGGTGGAGAAACTGATGCCTGTCTCTGTCTGTGAGAGTGTCAGTGTGTGTGTGAGATGTTGTTTATGTCTGAATATGAGCGAGTGTGTGTATGCATGCATAAATCTGTTGGTATTTGTATGTTTAAATATTTTAATTTTTGTTTGAATGTGGCTTAATTTGTTTCTGTATCTGTATTTGTGTGTGTGTGTGTCTCTGTGTGCATTTTTATGTCAAATTTTTTTGCAGTATATATTGAAATTATTGTGTGTTTGTCTGTGTAGCTGTCTAGTATATCTGAATTTATATGTTTAGATTTGTTTGGCGTGAGGGTGTGAGGAGACTTTGGCTTGAGCTTTTTATCCATGTCCCTGTGGGACGCAGTGTGGTCAGGAGAGTAAACAGCGGTCCATGTTAATACGTTTCCTGTGTCTGGCCCACCATACCTGTGTGGTTCACCTCGGCACACACTTGCTGTACAACAGAGCAAGTCAGACGCATACCAGTGCCTCTTTTACTAACACTGGGGATTTAGTTTGTGCAGGATGCATACAGATGGCTGACACATTTTGTCCTGTGCATAACTATTATTGTTATTGTTGCTTTACATTGTAGCATTTAAGTATTAGTAAATCTTTAAATCATTAGCTTTAGAGTATTAGAAGCTAGAATTGTGGTTGTATTGCTGAGAGGATAGGCAGCCATTGCATTTTAATTTGCATGAGCCGTGTTTTCTGGCCAATCTGATGCAATGCTTTATTACAGAACAGAAGGAGGGAGCTGGTTTTTCACTTCCAAGCTTACAGATATTTTAGTAATGATAAGATTAGGGCTGCAGCTAAAGATTACTTTGATTATTGATTAATCTGACAATTATTTTCTTGATTAAGCAATTAATAGTTGTGTCAATGAAATGTCCATTCTGATGTGTTTTTTTCATTTGACCAACAGTCCAAAACCCAAAGATTTTCTGTTTGCTATCAAATATGACAAAAATCAAACATGTAGTGTGTCTCTTGTACATAGTGACCAGAGAGCACTGACAAGTTGATTTTTATTTTTTTTTATATATCTCAGTCGCAATTCCTAAAAAGTCAAACCAAAATGTACGCGATCCGTATCAAGATTTGGTTGTTTATGTTAAGAAACATATTGTTATCAGATTTTGCCCTCAGTATCAGCCTCAAAAATCCAGTATCGGTCGGGTTATACAAGGTAGCACTCTTTAAAGTGTCTTGTTTTGACCAGCAGTCCATTGACCCATGTTTCCAACAAAGGACGTAGGAAGTTTTTTGTTTTTGTGACCAGAGGCTGCTTGTTTTTGCTAGCATGATGGAGTCTCATTTGTTTACAGTGATCACAACAATAACACTATACTAACTATAGTATTTTGATTCTGTCCTCCTTCCCCGACTTTATTTCTCTCTACTTTGCCATTTTATTATTATCTATTTGTCCTGCCTCTCCCATGTCAGTCAGCCGTGCATTTCACATTGTGTTTACCCAAATAAACACCTAACGGCCAACACAGGCATCACAAAAACTGACTGTGGCCAACTCCTCCACCCCCATGGTGGCCCAGACACAGCCACTGTTATGACAGCTCCCAGCGCTGTCTTGATTTAGCCAAGGCAGGACGCACACATCCGCAGTTATAATTCAGTAATTTGTGTTTGTGCATTCTGTGACAATTGTGACAAATGACTGGCCTGGAGTGAAATGCCAACCTGCCCCCCCTCCCAAACACCCCTCCTTGTTTCCTGCCCGGGCCGACGCATGCTTACACTGCTCAGGTGTGCGCTGAGAGGGTTTGCGTGCTGAGTATGAATAGGCCTGCTGACAAGAGAAATGATTACATAGACGTGTTTATTTTAAATGTGATTTTTATTGATGAATCATATCAACTCAGCAGGGCCTGTATGATCACGTCGGCTTTGCTATTTTTTTCCTTCTTCTTGGTGGTGCAGAGTCCTTAAACAGCTTGAGCACATAGTTTGTATCCTTGTCGGGCAGCATGCTCTGCCTGTCCGAACACACATGCTTACTCATACGCAGCAATCATTTCATCTAGCCAGCCCCCCCCCCCCTCATTTACATTTTCCGGGGCATTTTTCATCATAAGCGCGTTCTGTCATCGATATTTGCGGGGAAATTGAGGGTTTCCAATCGGAGAGGGGTCTCAGCAGAACACGGAACCTATTATGGAAGCCAGGCAGCAACAGGAGGAATCCTGGTAATGTTTTACCCACGAAATGAGTTCCATGCCGTTGGAAGTCCTGTGCAGA